AACCACGCAGCACAAACACAGAAAAATTGACAAAACGGCAAAAGCTTTTGTCGATTTAAAATATTTACAATTTTAAAATATTTTCCGTGTCTCCTAAAATCTGCGTCAATATGTATGCATGCTCATATATAACATACGTATTTACGATCATTGTAACAAAGCTGTTAGACGGCAAGGGAAGCGGTGACAATCGGCGGTCCGTTCGTTAATATTTTTCGGCACAGCTCGTTTTCTATCAACAACACAATGTTGTGACGCTTTTGAATCGCGTCAGCCTATCGACACAGTGACTCTTAACAAGAAAACAAAACGGAGCTGGCCATTATTGTCGCAGGGCACTGGAGATTTCGCATAACAATGAGTGTACATATTTACATACATACGTTGCATATAGACAAATTAACAATTATAATGGGTACTTTCATATTTGTTTACATGCAAACATAATATTTGAATAAGAATATTTGCGACCGCTTCGTCTTTTCTTATCGGGTTATGTCAAGCAAGAGGTGTACAAAATCAAACCCGGAAATCTGACTGAACTGAAGCAGTCCATTAAATAGATAATTGATGCAATCCCGAATTAGGTGTCGCATATGCGTGGTTGAGTATAGAAAAATAATTAATTGTTTAAATAAAATAAAATTTTCTATACAATAACAAAATTGAATGTAATGCATTGACTAAAAAGAAATTTATTGCGGTTTAATTTTGCAGCACGATTCGTTAGCCACCCTGTATAGGTAGAATATCTTCAAATTATATGAAAAGTCGTTTGCGCATTGTAAATATACGAATCTGTAAACGTAAATTTCTTAACATTGAAATTAGCATTATTTTTCTCAATTAACATTGAAAATGCTCAATTCTGCTATTTTTCAGTCCCCTGATGTTAATTGTAGCCATTTCGTGAAACACGCTCATCGTTTTCAGTACCTCTTCCAAATGTGGTGAAACACGCTCATCTTTTTCAGTTCCCCTGCGAAGCATGAAATATTTTGCTAATGCCGCACTGTGAACCTTCTCTATGATATACGTTCTCTGCTTGAGATTTTGTTTGTCGTGTATGGCACATATGCTTAAGCGGAAGACCTAAATTTACAAAAATAAAATAAAATTGGGCTTACAATAATTTATTATCTAAATATAGGCAACTTTATACAGAAACTAATCTGATAAATTTATATAAAAATTTACAATAAATCCAATTTATTTTTCTACACACATGTTTACGAATAAAAATTATTGTAGAATATGTTGTATATGATTACTTTTGCAAGCGATTTAACATATTTAGTACTTTTAAATTACAATAATATTAATTTCTTCGTTTACCTTTTACTAATTTTTGGTTTTGGTTAATCAAATGTAAAAATTTATGTTTGTGTGTAATTACTTATTTAAAGCATAATTGTAATATTACAAATATCTATTCAACCTATAAAAAAAATTTCTGCCTACCGATTCCTTAGGCATTAAAAGAAAAGTATTTATATATACAGGTTAAATATCATTAACATACCTGTACTCGAATTGTCATTGGACGTGGACATTTACCGTGGCAGATTACATTAATTGCTATTTTTTTGTTTTGGCTGGGTTTTGTATCTTTGGCTCTAGTGTATGAGGTTAAAGGAGGCCGATGGAGTTCCTTAAAAGCGGTTTTAAAACAGTGCTTGGAAGTACTGAGCCTGGTCAACAACCTAGTGCAGCAGAAACCGTTGAAAAATTAGTTGATCGTGTATTAAGTTCAACGTTATTAGACGATCGTCGGGATGCTTGTCGGGCTTTGAAGGCCCTATCTAGAAAATATCGTATTGAAGTTGGAGCACAAGGAATGTCAGCATTGGTCCAGATCCTGAAACATGATAGTCAAGATTCAGAAATAATTAGCTATGCCTTAGATGCTTTGTGTAATATAACAGCTGCTGAAGAGTTCGAAGAAGAAATTGATAACCCAGCCGTTTCAGTAAATGTTGGGGAGCAATTTACTGAAATGTTTATAAAAGTACATGACCACGTTACGTTAGTTATGGTTTATTTAGAAGAATATGATTTTCGAGTTCGGCGTTCCGCAATTCAACTCATCACTACGTTGATTGCGAATAAAACTCGTGATTTACAAGAAATTATTCTAGTTAGCCCTCTGGGTGTATCCAAACTAATGGACTTACTTTCAGACAGCCGAGAAGTTATTCGAAATGATGCACTACTTTTGTTAATTCAGTTAACAAAGGGGAACTCAAACATACAAAAGATAGTTGCTTTTGAAAACGCCTTTGATAAAATTTTTGAAATTATTCAAAGTGAGGGATGTTCGGATGGAGGCATTGTTGTTGAAGACTGTTTGATCCTTTTATTAAACTTGTTAAAAAATAATTCCAGCAATCAACAATATTTCAAGGAAGGCTCCTTTATCCAAAGGTTATCACCAATGTTCATTATCACCCCGGAAACAGAAGAGAATGGGTGGTCCCCGCAAAAGGTCTCGAATATACATTGCATGTTGCAAGTAGTTCGTGCATTAGTTACACCAAGTAATCAACAACAAGTTGTATCATCTTGCCAAAAAGTTATGCGCAAATCAAATCTCCTCGATTCGCTATGCAGTATTTTAATGGGTAGCGGAGTACCAGCTGATATACTAACGGAAACTATAAATGCAGTTGCTGAAATAGTTCGTGGTGACAAAGAAAACCAAGATAAATTAAGCATGGTTATGGCTCCTAGTAACCCTCCTCGACCAGCAATTGTCGTGCTTCTAATGTCAATGATAAACGAGAAGCAGATCTTAGCGCTTAGATGTGCTGTATTGTATTGCTTTCAATGCTACCTCTTTCGGAACGAGGAGAGCCATCAAGCTGTTATACAAACGTTATTACCCTCTTCTGAATCTGAAGTGAGTAGTCACTCAACTGGTCAATTGTTATGTGTGGGACTATTTTCATCAGATCCACTAGCCAATTGGTTTTCTGCAGTAGCACTTATGCATGGACTTGTCGATAGTGTTGCACAGAAAGAAGAACTGTTGCGCGTTCTTTTAGCTAGTCCCAGAGGAGGAAATCCTATTACCTTATTGGGGCAATGTACAAATTTACTTCAACAAGATAGTTATAAATTGCAAAGTAAAGTTGGTCTTCTGATGTTGCTGGGCATGTGGTTGGCACATTGCCCTACTGCCGTTAAAACCTTTCTCAGTACTAGTGGAACAATGGCATATTTGACGGCGCAAATTAGTGCAAATGAACACGATGAAAATGAGTATTTGATACAAGGCTTATGCGCGTTCCTCATGGGGATTTGTATTCAGTTTAATGATAACACACTTCCCAATCAAAAACGAGATGATATCTGCCAATTGATAATTAAACGTATAGGACAAGAAACCTTTTGTAATAAACTTAGCGAAGTATCAAGACATGAAGCTTATAATCGAGCATGCAAACAACCTCAGATTCGAGCAAAGGCCTCCCCTGATCTTTTGCTGGATTATGAATATTGTAAGTTATATAAAGGATTGGAAGCATTACTAGGAAAAATAGTAAGCGGATTTGATGTCAATGGTATAGAATTGACGGAATTAACTCTCAGTTCTGAAGCCTCTGCGCTTGTAGCACAATATAAAGGCATCATTCGGGATCTTGATGGCCAAATAAATTTGCTGCAACAAAATTCAAAACGACTCAAAGTAAAAAATGAGGAACTCGAACAAAAACTGTCTAAAGTAGAAAGCCTTAATACACAATTATCTGATCAAAATACATTGCTAAAAGCCCAGTTAGGAGCCGCACAGAACTGCACTTCCCCGTCAGGAGATGGTACTGCGATGAATGCTATAAGTGCAGCTCAGTTCCAGACGAATCTTCATTTTGCAGAAAACATTAGAATAACTCGCGAATTTGAAACATTACGCCAGCAACTTGAAAATGAAGTGCATCGTGCTAAGACAGCAAATGACGAACTTCAAAAATTACAAAAGGATCAAGAAGATCTACTTGAGCTCTTAACTGATCAAGAAAATAAAATCATTCGATATGAGCAGCAACTGCGGTCAGCAGGTTTACCTATTGAATACGATGATAAGAATAGCACAGTTGATATATGCAATCAACAAAGTCCCAAATTGAACGTATAACTTAATTTATCGTATATAAATATCATTCAGCGAAAATTATATTAAATACAAAACAGGGCATACCGTTTAATTCTAAAAGTTTAATGTAAATATCATTTAAGCATCATTTCTCCTTAATATACATACAAATAAATAATATATAACCATTTTCACTTTCTTTTCTTGTCTATAAAACTTGAGTCTAAGAGGTGGTAAAATTGATATTTATTATAGTTTGCTGTAATGTGGTGAAGATAAACAAGAAGTTACCATCCGTCCACTTAAATACAGTGACAATCTATGATCCAACAAAAATCCGACCGTTCACTTAAATAGAGCTAACTTTCGCGGGAAAAAACTAGTATATTAAATGCTATTAGAAATTTCCATTTCATATATGACCCTTAGTTATTTTCAGAAATTAATGGGACTTTTTAGAAACAACTTTCTGTAATACTGAATTTTGTGTGGTGTGGCGAAATACTTTTAGGGAATACTGCAGTTGTAAGTATTTCTTCGGATATAAATTGGACTCATTTAGATGAAACCGACTGTTGTGGCCAAAGGTTTACACGTATACTATATGTATCTTTTAAATCTTTGCGGTTTAGAATTGTGACGGCTGTAAATTCAAACTCAAGCATTAAAAAAGTGTTCAACTATTCCCAATTTTCCTACATACTTTTAATACAATTTCAAAAGCAGTGTTTAAATAATTCTGTCGCAACTTCCCAGTGTCCTTTTCTTTCTTAGAAATATAAGAGTAGAAGAACAAAACCATTATAATCTTCATTTCGAATTAACGTTGAAAAACGTTCAATTGCGGTTAAAAACCAGTATTCATTAGTTATCAAGAAAATTGAATAGTAAATATAAAAATAAACTGTTTTCCAGTAAATTAATATAGTTGAATCTTTATTTCGGAATAGTCAGCAAAAATTATTTACTTTTTGTCACTCGAAATCGAGCTCTTTGATTCTCTTAAGGAAGCAGAGCGACGTCTCTTGGCTTCGTCGCGCTTAGCCTTAGATTCCTTCTTACGCTGTGCTAGCAATTTAGCATAATCAGCTGCAGCTTCTTTGGAAGCGGCTTGACGTTTCTTTTTCAGGGCAGTGCGTCTACGCTTCCTTTGAAGCACCACTGGAGTAACCAAACGCTGAATCTTGGGTGCTTTAGATGTAGCTTTTTTATTATCCTTAGCGGGCAACGGGCGACGAACCACAAAGCGACGAACATCATCATCCTTGGTTAAATTATAAAGTTTCCGAATTTTGCTGGCACGTTTTGGGCCAAGTCGTCGAGGAACAGTTGTGTCAGTCAATCCAGGTAGTTCTTGTTCACCTTTTTTAACAATGACAAGAGCCAAAACCGACATGTTTGCATCCACAATGCAACCGCGGACTGATTTCCGTTTTCTTTCACCAGTACGGCGAGGTCTGTAACAGGAATGACCTTTCTTCAATAGCAGACGTACACGACCTTAATAATAGAATACATTATTAATTTCAGTTAAGAAATGTATGTATATTGGGCTTTAGTATAGCATACCCCGAATTTGCAAAATATGGGTATGTCAACACTTATTATTTGATTGGATGCCAGTTTGATATTGTGTAAATAAGGAAAATTTAAGAAAACTTTATTTACGATTTACAACTATTTGTACACTTTATATGTACTATATGAATAAATGTGTAAAAACTATTTAGTGATGCGTTAGTGGATATAAGTGTAAAATTCATAATACATAGAAGAATTACATATGTACATTAAATTGTGAACTTTCAGACTATTAGATCGAATATCTCGAAAACTATAAGTCTCCTGCGGCTATAACATCATCTATCCGCCCATACCGGTTATATCCCTGAATTCGAAGGATGCTTTACTAAAGTTTTCCCATATACATATATTATTACTTACCATGCGAAAGCACTCCTTGTTTCATAGGGAAACCCTGTTTATCGTTACCACCGGCGATACGAAGATGATATCCTTTCCACTCATCACCGAGAACGTCAGCTTCTACAATTTGTCCCATACGCTTCTCATAAAACACACGAAGCTTGTGTTCATCCACAACTTCAAATAACTTTTGGCATCCTGTTGCCGGGAAAGACACGTTAAGCTGCAAATTGAAGACTTTTGTAAATTATACAAAGATATACAGTCCAGTATTACGACAAAATTCGATCAACATTTATCTCAATGATCACTAGGATATAATTTGAAAATCTATCCGTCAATTTTTAAGCATGTCATTTGAAATATGTTTTCTCAAAGCATTTCGACTAAAACACTTTATACAGCTATATTTTAATAAAAATTATTAGCACACCTTCATTTTCTAATCCAAATTCATGGAACACCGAATAGAAAAGGGAAAGCGAAGTATGCTCGGCAATCTTGGGTAGGTGTCAAGCAATTTCAAAAATTCACAATAGTTACAGGGTTGTACTATTAAGTATTATTTTTGTCCATTAAACAACTCTATTACCCAAATATTAAATTTATTATATCAGTAATTGAGGAAGTTAAGTATTTCTCAGAAAACTTCTCTTTCTTTCGTTCACCCAAAATATTGTGTTTGAAATTGTGTTATTTAAACCTTAATTAAAATTATTTAGTTTTCAGAGTTTTTATTGTGTTTATGGACATATTAAAGAAACTTTAACATAACTTACTGGTATCGCTTTGTGTATATGTAATATATTGCGAAGTTAAAATATACTCTCAAGCATTCATTTACACGTAATTATTGATGTTTTGTTTATTAGTCAGCACGGCACAATTGGATTTTATGTGTTTTTATGATAAAAACATGAAAAACGTCATATTAAAACAATTACGACAATTTTATGTACAATATACATATTATACATGGCACCACTGTTTTAAATTCGGTTGGGCACTATTGATCCATGCAGTGATCGTTTTCGAATTATCGATACTCTGGATATTCGAGATAAGGTCAGATATACTATACAGAAAAAATTACAATTCCTTATTATTAGTCTCTAAAAACTTTGTATTTTCTTTTAACATTGGAATATTTTGATATCGGAAAAGGAATTAAGGTAAATGTAGGGTCGGCTTTAGAATAACGTCCCACGCTTTTGTGGATAAAATGGGTATGGGCGGATAGAGGAGATCCTCCAGATCAAGATCGCGGGGAACTTATAGTTTTCGAGATATTTACGTTTAAAGTTGAAAATTTCAACTATTTAAAGTACGTATTTTTGCGATTTAAAATGAATTATACACTTATATTTTTCACTTTTATATCCACTAACACTTGAATAATTCGTTTTTAGAAATTTTTTTTATATTAGATGCTGCAAAAATAGCTTTATTTCAATATTTAAATCATTCTTCAATTTTATTAATTTTGACAATAACAAAATGGTTGTGAATGTCAAAACATCAGTGTTGCCATACTAATACATTTTGTAAACGAAGAAAAATAAAATAAACAGAGAGATTGTACCCTAGATACAGGAAACAACGCAAAAAAAATTTCTGCGCGTAAAAACTTTGGTACACCCCGGTATTGGATCGACCAGGGTTATTTTTTTTGAAGCGCGGCCGAAGGCCGCCAACGCAAACAGGAGTTCTGCGCAAAAAAACCTTGATACACCCTGGTGTTGTACCGACCAGGGTTATTTTTTTAAAGCGCGGCCGAAAGCCGCCAACGCAAAAAGAAGTTCTACAAGAAAAAAGTAATATTGTCATAGAGGGTATAACATAATACTTAACATTAATGCTTTGTAATAGTTTATTTCTCTAGGTTTTAGATTCCTGTATTTGGGGTATTATCTGTTTTAATTTCTTTCAGTTCAATTACAAAAGATGTCGATAAGGTAACACTGGTTATTTGAAATTTTGCAACCCTTTTGCTATTGTCAGAAATAATAGTATTTAACAATAATTTAATTGTTGAATTAAACTATTTTTGCACTATATAATGTAAAATAAATGTGTACAAACGAATTAGTGAAGTGTTAGTGGATATAAAAGTGGAAAATATAAGTGTATAACTCATTCGAAATGGGAAAAATGCGTACTTTAAATAGTCGAAATTTTAAACTTTAAACCCAAATATCTCGAAAACTATAAGTTTCCCGCGGCTATATCTATATATATTCTTGATCTGGAGGATCTCCTCTATCCGCCCATACCCATTTTATCCCCGAAAGCGTGGGACGTTATACTAAAGTTTTCCCTAAATGTATACTGTAGGTCCTCCAACGAAGGACTTAAAGCAAAGTTCAGAATTCCGTGAGCGGGAAATAATTAAAAAAAATATTTTTTAGTACACTTTTCGCATGTTCTTTCGCGTCAAATTCTCTTCTGTACCGGAGACCTTCGACCGCGCTTCAAATAAATAACCCTGGTCGGTCCCTCTAACACCGGGGTGTTCATAGTTCTTTTGGGAAAGGGGTTCAACGCAGTCAATGCGGCTCCTTTAATTGGTGAAATATACTCGGGTGACTAGTTGTGGAAGGCTTTCAAGGACCGCTATGACAATGGAAATTAGCTAGCGGAAATACATGTATCCCGTTTTCTCAACCTTAAAATAGCTACCCATGATTCATCACAATCGTTACTGGTTATTGTTGACACGGTTAATGAGTCGCTGCGTGTTACGGATATCCCCATATATATATATATAGTGGAATGAGTTAGCTGTACCATTAGTGGGTGATAAGCTTCCAGCGATAACTAAGATTAGTGGATGAGGTGCTCCACTACAGAAATACCACAGTTAGAAGACCTATTGAAATTTCTGAAGAGACGTGCTCGTAGCCTTGCTCCTGAGCCATCGGTCTCATTAATGGTTTGCCGTCAGCAACGACCAGTGAGGGCGCATGTGGCTATCACGGATGCAGCTCTGTGCGCTCATTTCGGGTTAGCGCATCGAATCGCCAGTGTCCTACATTATTGGCTCGTAGTATAATATGAAGCAACGAGATGTGTACAACTGATTACGTACAGGTTATTCTTATCGACAGTGCTCATCTGGTAGCTGTCGAAGTTGTGGTCGTAAGCGCAACATATTTGAGAGACATAGATTTAGCGAAGAACCGGTTCGGTATGGCTGGAATTATCGACGTTCTTATTGCGTCAGACGTGTGGGGGCGACTCATAGAAGGTGAAGTCATCGCTTGAGGACCAGACGAACCTTTTGTCCAACGTACCCGCTTTGGATGAATGGTGTTTGGTTCATCATTGCTCACACTCACCACTTCGCTAGACAGGGAAGACCACTGGTTGGAGGAACTCATAGTCGTACCTCAGACGGCCGTTATATCGTACACTTACCCTTGCGACGAAAAGCAACCGAACTAGGTGACTAGGTAGTAGGGGGGATAGCATTCCACCCTGTGGGTAATTGTAGTATACTTTTACGTTTTCTTCGATGTCGATGTAGTATCGATAACTGCGGACATAGAGAAGATGTTTGGGTAAGTGTTGTTAAACCTGAACTTTGCGACTATCCACGAGTTATATGGTGAGAGTATCCTGCAGACGAGATCCGGGCGTATCGACTAAAGACCATCACACTTAGTTGGCATGCAGTCCTTGTAATGCAGTATGTATGATGTACGCAGTATGATAATTTCGCTGTAGTTCCCGACATACAATAAACGTTCGAACTGCGATATTTACCTCGTTTTATTTTGACGACTTCTTAACAAGTTATTAAAGCGTTATTGATGCAATAACAATTATCTGATGACCTTTGCCGAAAATGTCTGAACTATTGGTCACAGCTCCTAGAGCTCAATCAAATTCGCATCGAATGGTGGATGGGTATGATTTCACGCGTGAAGACATCATTTCAGGGGTTTTGCGATGCCAGTTCATATGTTTATGCAGCGGTTATTTACGCGAAGACGTCGAACACAATCGGTTCGGTGTGTTTCAAACTTTTGACGGCACGTTTCAAGGTGACACCACTCAAGACTGCTATAATACCATGCCTGGAACTTTCGCAGCGCTACTTCTTACGCTACATTCCAGAACGTGCGGGACTTTTTGGGATTAGTTGACGTTCCCTACCATCTGTGCTCGGACTCACCGATCGTATTGTGTTGTCTGAGGAAGAATCAGCAATATTAAACCATTCATATCAAATCGGGTTCGAAGAATACAGGAGCTGACATTCCCTACCCGATGGCATCACATTCGTTTGGTTCAAAACTGAACTGGCTGATTAAGCCAGTAGAGGTATCACACCCGTCGAGCTATTATTTTATTTATTTATTGACTACGCCAATCGGCAAAATACATACTAAAAAATAGTTAGTTGATGGTAATTGCAAAAATACAAATATATATATATATATATATATATAGGGCGCTGTGGTAGCAGTTTGGGGGAGTTGCATAGATCAAAATCCTCGATTACAAGAGTAAATAATCCTTGGTGTTATCGATGAAAGCCGTGTATGTACCTCTGTAGAAGTCAATCTCACCCTGAAGTGAATTTATAGATTTAGCCAGTCTATTTTGGGGTCCACGGATCACGTAGTTTTTCTTGGAGTTGGAAGGTTTTAGTATTCGATTACGTCTGAGTGTTGGGCCGACTGAGGCAAACGAGCCAAGAATGTCGAGAGCATCAATGATGTTGGACCTTCTCCACTTTGTCTATCATCATATTTGAGAAAAGGGACCAGATAATTGACCCATATTCAAGGACAGGCAGGACCAAAGATTGGAAAAGTCTAGTCAGGGTGTAGGGGCTGCTGAAATCTATACCGTTTCTTTGGATGAACCCGAGGGTTTTGAATGCCTTGGAAATGATTTTATCAATATGTTTAGAGAAGGTGAGCTTATTATTAACTATGATGCCCAGGTATTTTACGTCTTCAACCTCTATAATCTCCAGGCCGTTGATCTTGTAGTTTGCGTGAATTGGTGAATGCGAGCGGGTGAAAGATATAGCGACGCATTTGTTGACGTTGTGGTCATGTTTATTCACACCGCACCAATTACCAAGAGTATCAATATCTTGCTGTAGCGTTAAGATGTCAGTCATATAGGCAATGGGTCTAAAGATTTTGAGATCATCTGCATACAGCAGATGGTCTGAGACAATATTATTACCAATGTCGTTGATGAAAATATTGAAGAGTACCGGGCCTAAATGAGACCCTTGTGGTACACCAGATATCACTTCATATTTATGAGATAGATAGCCATCGATTCTGACCTGAAGACGTCTTCCTGTAAGGTTTGAGTGTATCCAGGACAATGCACTACCTCCTAGGCCGTAGCTACTCAACTTGTGCATAAGTATTTCGAGGTCAACACGATCAAATGCCCTGCTAAAATCCATGTAGATACTATGAATACATTTGCCGGAGTCCATAGTATTAACCAAATTGTTAATATATAAAAACAAATTTGTTGTAGTGAATCTGCCTCCAGTGAACCCATGTTGTTTGGTGGTTATGATGTGTTCAAAAGACTGTAATAGCTCGGATAGCACCAATTTCTCAAATAACTTGGCAAGTCCGGACTGAATACAGATGGGACGATAATTGGTGACCATCGCTTGTGATCCGTCCTTGTGTATTGGGGTTATGTATGATAATTTCCAGTATGATGGAAAGACACCACGGCTAAGGGATTCACTGAATATATGTGACAAGGGTTCACATAGACCAATCGCACAGTTCTTTAGGAATATATTGGGTAGACCATCTGGTCCAGCCCCTTTCTGGGGTCGAGTGCAAGAAGCTGTTTAAGTACTTCGTCGAAAGATACTATCAGATCGTTCATATGAGTGCATTGCGATCCCAGATTAAAATTTGCTGCATCTGGAACGATGCAGTTGTTTGGTGCATAAATGCTGTGGAAAAAAGAAACAAAAAGGTTGCAGATTTCAGGCCCAGAGTCAGCCGACTGATCGTCCCATACCATGGATGGAGGTATGTCACTTCTGCAGCGGTTTTTGGCTTTAACAAAATTCCAGAAGACTTTAATATCCGATTTAATTTTACTTTCAACTTGTCTACGTAGCTCTTGTAGTACTCGGAACTCAGTCTTTTACAATCAAGTCTCAGTTTGCTGAACCGATAATAATTTGACTTAGTTTTCCTTCCTTATTTTATACAACACGTGCGCTGACTTCTTCAATTTAATTTTGTGAATGAGATCTTTTGAGAACCAGGGTGGGTAGTTACTGTGTTTATGCGTATGTATTGGAACGAACTGGTTTACGCCTTTAAAGATTTTTACTATCAATTGTTTCGAATTTGTAGAAGACCAATTTGTTCTCAGGTAGAAGATGTTGAGCTCATCGTAGTTAGCATTTTTGAATAAGTAGGAAGAAGAGTTATTTGGGACCATCCTAGGCTGAAAGTTGAGCGTGATATCCAGGTAGGACGATGTTTATCTTCTGAGAC